AAAGAAACTTTTCTCCTTCTTGGGAATGCAAAGAAAGCTGGCAATAGATGACAAGTGTTGCTTGCATCTTAAGCAGAATGATTTTTAAGGACAATATTATATTCCCCACTCCCATCATCCAAATTATAATCTGTGGGTCATAGGAGTCTCATTGCAAACCATCCTCTGCAAATCTGTTCTACGTGAATTACTACTCTTTAAAACAGTGTTTCTCAACCTTGGCAACTTTAAGATGGGTGGACTTCAACTCCCCGAATTCCCCAGCCCGCCTGGCTGGCTGGGGGATTCTGGGAGTTGAAGTCCACTCATCTTAAAGTTGCCAAGGTTGAGAAACACTGTTTTAAAGAGTAGTAATTCACGTAGAACAGATTTGCAGAGGATGGTTTGCAATGAGACTCCTATGACCCACAGATTATAATTTGGATGATGGGAGTGGGGAATATAATATTGTCCTTAAAAATCATTCTGCTTAAGATGCAAGCAACACTTGTCATCTATTGCCAGCTTTCTTTGCATTCCCAAGAAGGAGAAAAGTTTCTTTAGAAACCTGACTAGCAGCTGCACTTGTGGGCCTAACCGTTCTGTAAAAACCTGGCTTTCCCCTCAGGCCTCGGGTTAAGATGGATGGACCAGCCCCTTTGAATTTGAGGGGTTTGTGGAAGGATGGTGGTTATTTTATAGATGTTTCTGGGTTTTCTGGAATTGTTCTTTTACCTTTATGCATCTGCCCAGAGTTGTTTGGAGTTGGGCAGCCTAGAAATGTAGTTAAATAATCACTGAGACATAAACATAGAATGTAAGGGTAGGAAGGGGCATTGGGGGGTCATCTAGTCTGACCCCATTAGTATAGCATCCGCAACAGATGGCCCTCCGGCCTCTGTTTCAACAGCTCCTAAAGCAGCCTGTTCCACTGTTGAACAGCTCTTACCACAAGGGAATTCTACCTAACGTCCAGCTGAAATCTATTTCGTTGTATGTTAGGCTCCTGGTTTCTTGCCATCTGGAACGACTCTGAATGATTCTGCTCCAACTTCCAAGTTCCCTCCCCATCCCACGACTGCATTTAGCTCGCTTCTCTCTTTGCCGCTCTTCTTAATCTTTTAAAACTGATTTCATTTCAGCTGTCCAGACTACTCCGCCACGTGAGTTGGTGCCCAAGAAAACTCCCCCTTCAACCCCTTCTCCGCCCATCCAGGGGCAGAGTGTCCTGAGCTACAGTCCGTCCCGCTCCCCCAGCGCCAGCCCTAAATTTGCGACCGGCTGCGTCTCTGGCTACAGTCCTCAAATTCAAGCACTGTCGGGCAGCAGTGGGTCCTACGGCACTGCGGCGAGTTACTCTCCAGGCAGCAACTACAGTAAGGTAGGGAGCTTGATTTCATTTAGCATTTAAACCATGGTGCATCAGGCAGGCATGTCCTGGGAGAGTGGGAGGAGCCGTTGTCTTAATTGCTGGACCGAGATTTGAAATGAAGATTTGTAGCATCTATTAACTCCTCTCTCTTCCAGCCCACCTTGCTTTGCATTCAGTTCCCTCTCAGGCTGCAAAAATTAAGGTAATATTTTGTTATCCGGAACTAGGAAAGATCAAGGTGTTCTTCTGTACATACTATTTCCTACTGTTTGACAATTACTGTATTTTGGACAGTTGTGAATTGTTTTTAAATGTTTTTTAACAAATTGTAAACTGCCCAGAGTAATTATTATTATTAATACTATTGAAAGATAAAAGTCTTTGAAAGCCTGCACTACCTCCCCATCTTACAGCAAAATTGCAGGTAAACAATAAAAGTGTGACCTAGGGATCGTTTCATTGAGAAAAGTTGGATTCCCAATACACGATTGCAGCTTTTCGTTTTGTTCCACTTAGGTGCCACCGTTCAGCCCTTCTCCAGGTCCCTTGATGTACCCGACTAGCACTGGACCATTGGATAGTAGTGGAATGAGATCCAGATATCGCTCCTCACCAACCGTGTACAATTCCCCCACTGGAAAGGCAGACTACATGACAGATTTGAAGTCCCTTGATAGCTTCCTTCGGAATGAGGAGGAGAAACAGCACAGAGTCCAGCTGGGTGAGTAGCTACTCCAAAGGAAGGTGGGGCAGATTTGCACAGCACATTCACAGAAGTTACAGTTTGCAGTTCATTGTGTATTGTGGGAATCCATCTGTTATCTTAGCCTCGCTTGGAACCAGGCTGACTTGTTAAGCCACGTGATTTATTTTTTGAGCCTTGCGGGTTCATGCCAATGCAGCCATTTTGTTTCGTTAACTTAGCAACTCAGCCATAAGGGGATAGAGTAGAGGCCAGTGCTTCCAATGGTTACATAGCATCGTTTCCATCAATCTGCATGTTCCTCTTGATCATTTCAGGCAGTTCGGATTCCAGCTCTCCTTCTAACAGTCCGACGTTTTGGAACTATGGTCGCTCCACGGCAGACTATGCACAGATGCTTAGGAAATTCCAATACCAGCCAGCCTGCAGGTCCCAAGCCCCATCAGCTCACAAAGATGAAGCGGATTTGAGTTCCAAGCAGGCTGCAGAAGAGGTAAGCAATGTTGGCAATGGGTTGTTTCTCCTTTTTTTTCTCTGGAGCAGTTGATCCAGTTTGCACATCATGCTAAGTCTTCCTGTTTTAAGCATAGTTTTTAAATAAATTGCAGTTGGTAGGGTTCATTCAAGTGTAAGTCATGTTCCTGCTGTTACTGCATCTGCAGATAGCTGGTTGGTGGCCCTATTCAAGAAGACCTGGCCTTCCTGGGTTGAGGAGGGGTCGGAAGAACATATGCGGGGCTGCTGTGAGAACTGTTTGAGGCATCTGTTGGATAACATCACTCAGATCCACTCTAAGCTGGACTCCAACTGTGCAGGGCCTGTGGAGTTGACTAAGGCACGGTCTTGTTTGACTATTCGGAAGGAGTTTAGCCTGTTGGCCCTTGGGGCTGTGAGCATAGCCAACTGTGAATTGGATCCATGTTCCTCCTGGTTGGTCAAAGCCTCCTGAGAGATGATATGGGGTTGGATTCAGGCAGTGGTAGGATCTGGGAACTTTCCATCATCTGATAGAGGCACAGAAACGCTCCATCGGACACAATTGGTACACACTTAGGGGGTCTCCTTGGGCTTGGCCTACTTGCAAGTTGTGCTGGCTCCCAGCAGGCTTCCAGATACAATTCCAGGTGTTGGTTATAATGCGATGGGGCCACGTTGTTGGTGCAAATGCCTCCCTCCTGTCATTTGTGCCTGCCAGTAGAATAGGCGTGCCCCACGTCCCTTCTATGAAGCAGTACCAACTGCTGGGACCCAGGAGATGTTCTAACGCTGCATCCAGGGTACTCGTACTTAGGAATAAATCTCATTGTCTAGTAGTGCTTGCTTTGGAATTAGCACAGATAGTGAGAGGACAGCGTGTGCCATGAGACCCTGGGAGGTTTGTTGCCTTTCATGAGGGGCCGTTGTGCCTTGTGAAGGTCTTCCTCCTACTTTGCCCTCCTGTATGCGGTTGTCATACTTTAAAACTTCTTGTTTTCCTGGCCAGGTCTGGGCACGCGTGTCAATGAGCAGACAGATACATGAGCACATGGATTCTTGGACTGCTAAATTCAGAAATGTGAGTTTTGCCCTTGGCCTTGGGAGTCAAATGTGACACTGGACTGGAAATCTCTTCCTGAGGTTGGACTTTAGGGAAAGAACTCAGGCTAAATAGGGACAATCCAACCTGAAATAATCTAAAGCAGTGTTTTTCAAGCTTGGCAACTTTAACATGCTAGCTGGGGAACTCTGGGAGTTGAAGTCCACACATCTGAAAATTGTCAGGTTTGAAAAACACTGGTCTAAAGGCACGTCGTGCTGTTTTGCTACTGGCTGTTGACTTTCTGGCTCCTTAACTGAGGGGCAATCTGGGAGTCACCTTAATTGAGAATTTCTCTTTCTCTAGTATACCAGCTCTATCACTTTATGGCTGTCAAAACAATACATGTTTATCTCAGCTCACACTTGTATAATGGCAACAGTAAGCTGGTATGTAATCAACACTTTTTTTATATATATTGAAGAATATTCTGTAAAATCTGTGGGTATAGTTAACAACAGAATACTTTTTAATGAATAAAACACACAATGAAAGGAGTGGACATTTTTGACTAATTACTGCATATTGCTCAAAATTCTTTTCCTCAATTTAAGTTTGGAAATTGTATTTAGAGCAGGCTAATTTCTGTCTTGGTAAATAGTATACTTTTACTATAGGAGTGGCATCTCTGGTTGATTTAAACATGCCTTGGTGTTCATAGTGAAAATGTACGAAAGGCAAGAACAGTGAATGCGTTCTTCCATCCCTTGTTGAACGTCATAGCAGTTAGAAACAGTTCTTCCGTTCCGCATACAGGTTTCCTAGGCTCTATTCATAATAAAATAATACAAATGAGATTTTAATGACATTTCTCCCAGCTAATAATTTGTGATTTGCACCGTTTCCCTTTTATTCTGAGTCCTTGAGTACTTTTTTTTCTCATTCTTAGTAATTCATTGCTTTGAGAAGGCCTTTTCCTATTGCTAGTAAATGTTCAGTGCTGTGTACGTCAATGAAATAGCAAATACAGAACATGCCACGCTTCTAACTTCTGTTTTCTTTTTGTCCCCCAACCCTTTCTGGTCTGTCAGTGGATCAATGAGACGATTTTGGTGCCTCTTGTCCAGGAGATTGAATCTGTGAGCACTCAGCTGCGGAGAATGGGGTGTCCAGAGCTGCAGATTGGAGGTACAGTGACACTACAAAAACCATGTGCTTTAATCATGTATTCAGAGTGAAATGTATGGATTAAATAATTTTTTTTTTAAACTTAGAATTTAGCAGCATTATAGAGAAGAAGGCTTTTACCATCTGGAAGCATCTGAGGTTGTCAACACTGGAAGGGAAAAAACATGCTATGATGGATCATTTTACAGAGTTATATTAGTGCAAAGGCTTAGAAATTCTTGAATGCTCTCACAGTTTTCCTAGCAGTCACATTTCTTCTTTTTGCAACCTCAGTTCTAGTGGCTGTGGCTCCTGCAATACCCTGTGAAGGTTGGGTACGCACAGCAATTTTCCCTGATGATTCTTTTTTTTTTTTTTTGCAATCAAACGGCTTTATTTATTTTGTATCCCTGCCAGCAAAATTGATTTAAAGAATTTCTGTGAACTAAATATTTGATTGACTAACTTTCAGATATGAAACTTGGTCTGTTTTTGCTTGTGCTCAGGAGCAGGGGCAGACCAAGGGTTCAGCAGGCATACTGAATGTGTTGCAGAATCAAGAGGTCTTGATAATAGCTGCCTACTTCCATTCATTAATTTACAAGGTTATAACTTGAATAAAAGGAAGTAAACAGCTGTCATCAAGGCCTCTTCCTGAAGCTTTGGACTTTCTTTATGGGGAAGGGTTGTAATTTCTCTCTTGTCTTTGCAGAGGCTAGCCTCAGCAGTCTGAAGCAAGCAGCTTTAGTAAAAGCTCCGCTCATTCCTACGCTGAACACAATAGTACAGTACTTGGACCTTACCCCAAATCAGGAATATTTGGTAGAGAGGATCAAAGGTAAATGGTCATGTTATAGAGGGAAGGTGTTTAGTGCTTGTTCTGTTCTCACCTGGGCATCGCTGTGTACGAGTCAGCCTGCTCTCTTGTTCTTTAGTTTCCAGAAGGATAATGGGGAAGATGGATCTGGGCTTTGAACAGTAACATAGTAGGTAGTCCTTGTTTACTGACCACTCATTCAGCGACCATTCAAAGTTGCAGTGGTGCTGAGTGAGTGGTAATTACAACCGGTCCTCAAAGTTCCAGCCGTCACACCATCCCTGTGGTCACATGATCACGATTCAGGCACTTGGCAACCAGCTTGCACTTAACGATGGTTGCAGTGCCCCATGGTCATGTGATCACCATTTGCAACCTTCCTGCCAGTTTCCTACAAGGGGAAGCCAGCAGGGAAGGTCACAGGTCGGTCCAGTAAGTCCCCCTGGCCTTCCTGCACTTGTGCGGTGCAGTGCCCTGCTTCCCTGGCCTCCCTTTGTTCCCATGGCACCCTGCTTCCCCCTACATCCCTTCGTTTGCATGGCGCCAGGCCCTGCTTCCCCAAGCTTCCCTCTCTGTACTGGTCCTCCCCCAGCCTCCCCTGCCACCCCACGACACCCCTCCACAGCACCCCTGCGCTCCTTACCTGAGGCTCCCACTGCTTCCTGCTTAACAACCTCCACATCTTGGGGTTACGACGGCAACCGGGATGACTGCATCACTTAGCAACGGCAGTCCTGGTCCCAATTGCCATCGTAACCCGAGGACTCCCTGTAGTACAACTGACAGTGAAACAAATGAAGTACTTGAAGAAATCATTATCCTGCTTCAGTCCTGCCTGCATATAATTTATGGTATTGTTCTGCTAACCCACAGAGCTTTCCCAAGGCGGATGCATGAGTTCATTCAGGTGGAATCGAGGTGGAGACTTCAAAGCACGCAGATGGGATACTGATTTACCAACTGACTCTGGAGTAAGTCCCACCATGGGGTCCAAAGATTTCTTAGTCAGCAATGGCATTAAGAGCAACATGTATCTGACTCATTGTTCCTTATATTTTTCTTTTCATAACAAGGCTGCTTGCAGATTTCCTTGGGTGCCTCAAATTTATTTGATTGATTGATTTGACTTATATAGGCACCCATTTTATGTGCCATAACTCTGGGCGGCTCCCACCGACAGCAATAAAAGCATAAAAGGAACAATAACAGCCAACTTCCTTAAACGCAACTCCTGGCACCCTAAAACAGCAGTCTCTAGTACATAAATAATCACAATCACTGGACTCCACCCTCACCCTATCTCAACACTTGGGGGAAAAACTAGCTTTTTAAGGCCTTCTGGAAGGCTAGAAAAGGGGGAGCCTTCCAGATTTTGGAGGGGGGAAGGTATTCCACAGGGCAGGGGCTGCTGCTAAGAGGGCATGCTTCCTAGGTGCAGCTAGATGAGAACATTTAAGAGGAGAGATCTGGAGCACGCCCACCCTATCCAACTGGGTGGAATGGACAGAGGCTAAGTCCTGCAGATAACCTGGCCCTGTGCCATGTAGGACTTTAAAGGCAGTAACCAGCACCTTGAATTGCACCCAAAGAGAAACTGGGAGCCAGTGCATATTGCACAGCAGCAGTGTAATACTGGCAAACCAAAGGGTGCCCAAAACTGCCTGTGTTACTGCAGTCTGGATCAGCTGTAACTTTCAGATGATCTTCAAGGGCAGCCCCACATAGAACATATTGTAGTAATCCAACTGGGAATTGACCAAGGCATGAGTAACTGTGAGAAAGGCTTTCCGTTCCAGGAACTGGCACAATTGGTGCCCAAGATGAATCTGTACGACCTCCTCCTCCCAGCCATAGCTGCCACCTGCTCCTTGAGCAGGAGCCATGAGTCCAGAGGGACCCCCAGATTGCACACTGGCTCTATCTGGAGGAGCCAGTTCTTCCCCATCCAGACTCTCACAGCCTCCAGGCACTGGGCCAGCATCTGAAGGGTGTCACCTGCCTGGCCAGAGGTGGAAATATGTAACTGGGTGTCATCAGCATATCTCAGATGAGAGATCCAGGAGGGCCAAGTCAGCTGCACCATCCCCACCCTGAGCCCCCCAGAGGTCCTCCACAAGCATGACCAATGCCATCTCAGTACCATAACTGGGCCTGGAACCAGACTGAAAAGGGTCCAGATAATCTGCTTCATTCAGGGCCCTCCGAAGCTGAGCACCTACCACCCTTTCCACAACTCTCTCTAAAAAGGGAAGATCTAACACTGTCCGGTCCAAAGAGGGCCTCTTGAGAAGGGGGTGCATCACCCCTCTTCTTTTAATGTAGGCTTAGCATTAGTTAGGCAGTCCTTTTTGGAAGCACTCAAATTACCGTGTATTTGGGGCTGCAGAACAATTACACATTTTTCTCCAAAGCAAAAAAAAAAAAGTATTTGATCTTTGATGCACTTTTCTCTTTAGATCCCTATAACCCAAATTACCAAGGGTTAATACTTGAGATGGATATGTTGTTGTTGTTGTTTATTCTATTTTGTAGCAGCAGAATCCCTCTGGGACTACATATTTTAGCTCTGCCTCCTGCCAAGGTAGTTACTGCTGACACTACCTGTCTTCCAACAGGGTGCCTTTACCTGGTATTCTCGCCCTGACCAGCTTGTAAGACAGTTAGGACTTCATAGCCTGTGCACCTTACTATCCCCAAAAGAGCGGGGGCAGGGATGATAAAAAGGTAATTAAATTCAACAAAGCACTGTCTCCTATCTATTCAGGTGTGTGACTAGGAGAATAATTCCCTTCTCTGCTGATACAGTAATATGGAACAATTTCACAAGATAAAAATAGAATCAAACTTTACTAAACAAAAAGAGAGAGCGAGAGAGAGAGAGAGAGATGTGAACATTCTTTTTTCACTTGAAATTGTCACATGTAAGACATTCAGCAACAAAGGAGATAAAATATAGAGCTATTCAAAACACAACATCTGAAAAGAACCTCCAGTAGAAAAATATACAGGACAACATAACACTCTGAGCAGTTCACAAGGTGCTCTTGACCTGTTACTAAGACAGAAGCAACTCTGATGTAAAGAGGAGCCAATCTGCATAAAACACTATCAGAGACAATAAATTAGGCTTAAACACACAGCTCCTTAAAAGTGCACAGCACGTTAGCTAAACTTACTACCTATCTCTTAGAATGACCTAAACTTCCCTCATTTGCTGCAGTGGGCTTTTTTTTTTTTTTTTTTACAGCTTCTTCTAGATTTTTTTCTTGATTATCAGTGGCTGAAAAAATATTTATTTATTTATTAATTTATTTAATTTATATATTCTGCCGCAACCTAAATTAACTCTTTTGGTGGCTTACAACAAAAAAGGGATCCTTCCCTCTCACCAACCTCAGCAATTTCTTAGTGCTTTTCTCCAGGAGTCCTCTCTAGCAGAAAGAGAGGGTTTGGGGCAGGCAACCTGGTGAAATTTATGTGTGGCTCAGGGCATGCAATTGTCCATTGTGCAGATGTGGATCGGGGAGAGCCCCAGTTCTGCCAGCTGCCCATTCCCAACACATTTCTTAGTTCCTTTCATTGCTGTAGTTGCGTGCACACAATCCATCCACCTTTTGAATAGCAGACTTCACTATACTTAGGTCACTACTGAACTTAACCGTGATCAGAAAGTCTGTTTAATGTTATAACTTATTGTAATACATTATTGGATCAATGGTTTTACTCTGTGACTTTATTGGGCTTCATTATAACCACATAATAAAACTCTTTCTCTGGCTAACTATGCTCTGTGATTAATTTAGCCAGGATCAGATTAGAAAACATGGGGGGCAGAGCTGCCTATCTAATATACTGTTTTGTCTCTGCTAAGCTAGTTATAATTCTGTCAGTCCTTTTCTGTTATGGGGGAGGATAGATACACCTATCTCCTCATGTGTTGAATGAAAATGCAATTCTGAGGCTGTATACTAGCCTTCTTTTGTTCTGTATCGCAGTCACATTGCCCAGAAAAATACCTCACTGTTGTTGAAGGATGCTGTGTGTATAGTAGTCCTTGCTTAATGACCACAATAGGGACCATAAAATTGGTTGTTAAGTGGGGAGATTGTTAAGCAAATTGGACCCAATTTTACAACCTGTTTTGTGGTAGTCGTTAAGTGAGTCACCATGGTCATTAAGTGAATCACATGGCTGTTAAGTGAATCTAGCTTCCCCCAATGACTTTGCTTGTCGGAAGCCCTCAGGAAAGGTTGCAAAGGGCAATCACATGACTCCGGGACACTGCAACCATTGTAACTCCGAGCTGGTTGCCAAGTGCCCAAATTTTGATCACATGACCATGGGGATGCTGCAGCGGACATAAGTGCAAGGACCAGTCGTAAGACATTTTTAGCACTGTTGTAACTTTGAACAGTCATTAAATGAATTGTTGTTAAGTGAGGACTACCTGTACTAGGAATACTTTCCTAGATAAAAGAACTACTGATCAGCAACACTTTGGGCTTCTCCACAGGGCCTTCCTATCAGTGCTTCAAGAAGGTTTGTGCGTTCCATGTGGTTTTTGGCTACATACTTTTTTCCTGCCCATTGTTTCTGGAGCATCTGACATGGGGCTAAATATCAACTTCCTTTCTCTCCCTTCAGATCATTATGCACGTATTCTGCACGTATCTTGATGCCAGGCTGCCTCCGCATCCAAAATATCCTGATGGGAAAACATTTACCTCTCAGCATTTCATTCAAACACCTGATAAACCAGGTAATGGAGGTGTGTGTGTGTGTGTGTGTGTTTTTAAAGGAGCTTAGTGGAAGAAGGCCTGCACTCAGCAACTGTTGAATGCGTCGAGAGGCCATAATGGACCACAGATTCTCCACAGAAACGGAGATGTTCCTGCTTGGATGGAGTTCTGTTCATTGGCCATTGAAGTCCTCAGAACATTTTGGGTCTTAGCATTTATGTACAACCAGCTGGACTCCACAAGCTGTGAACCGGATTGCATCTCATTCCATATTAAAATGGAACTTAATTTAATTTGTTTAATCAGGCTGTAATTGAGGCAAAATCTGAATCTATCATTCACAGATATTTCAAACGAGAATTTGTTCTGCATCTATCAGAGCAGCATCAACCCTCCCCATTATGAACTGATTTATCAACAACAAGTGTACAATCTTCCTAAGGTAGGAATAAGCGGCTTCTTGACTTTTCCAGAACAGAAAGCCTTCAGTTCTGTTCACAGCGGCCAACAGTGAGGATTCAGATGTCTACAGTAATGGGATATTTTCATGAAATCTAATTGTCTTGTTTATGTGCTCCTTTATGCAAACAGTTACAGTGGTACCTCGGGTCACGAACGCTTCTGTTCACGACCAATTTGGGTCACGTACAGCTCCGTTTGCAAAATTTTGCTTCCGTTCGCGAACGCCGGATCGGGTGACAAACAGGATCCGTGGCCATTTTCCCTCCCGTGACA